GTGACTTTATCGCCGATGCACTCAAACACTTGTTTCCCGAAAGACCAGCGAAGGATAAACAGCCCGAACAGGAACTGTAGGAATACTCCCCATAACACCTGATTCCATACAATATGCGACCGATGTTTCTGTTAACATACAATTAGAGTGTAAATAATTTTATTTAAAAATAAATGTATTTCATTTCATACCGAAAATACATATCCTATAATAATAAAGCCTATGAGTCCGCCACCAGATGCGAGACGTATGGGCTCATCACGTGCATCAATGACCACGAATATAATACAACAGGCGATTATAATACTCCAGATTATTTTGGATAAATGTCTGAATAGAAAACTGTTTTTGTTTGAATTGGCAATTGGTGCTAATATTCGCCGATAAAATGGTTTTATGACATAAGACTTAAGCACGAGATAATAGATTGTAATGAAGTATGCAATACAAGTCAACACAACTAATAGCTTCACGCCATCGCAAAAAGTTTTACTCTAAAATGATTAATATGAAAACTTTCTGTTCATATTTTAGCTTTTAATTAGTATATGAATACCTTATGCCAAGTTTCATGGATTGCAAAACCGAAATAAACATTATAAGCAATCAATAGTAAATACAAAAACCATTTCTTGTATTTTTTGCAAGAATTGATTAAAATATGTGCGATTAAAGTGAGAAAATCTTCGTCTGTCTTATGGACTTCATTTGCGTTCACAGTAATTGTTATTGAATTTTGTGTTTCCTATTAAAAAGCATTGATTTATTGATATCTCATAATATTTTTAAATATAATATAAAAACTACTTCATCGGTGTTGTGTTGAAAGGCTGGGTTCACATAGACTTCATGACTTCCATTCACCGCTTTATTGTTGATTACTTTAATCGTTTCAATGTTTTTGTTTTCTTTTTGATCGTAGAAACAATTATCGCTAATTTGAAACATGACTTTGTTTGATTTGATCTAGGACAGAATGTATATAATTTAATTATAAATTGTAATTTTAGGTTTAGGCAGTAGTTTAATTAAATAGATTATTAATTAACATTTTTAAAAATTAATTAGTCGTTATTTAATTTGAGTTTTCTATTATTTTAATAATTCACATTTATATAATAAATCATCCATATCTAAACTATCAATACCGATATTATATGTTTTTAATTGCTTGTTGGCAAACCATAATATATTAGATAAAAACTATAGAATTTGCATTTATATAAATGACATAAAATTATAAAGTAATTAAAAAATAACTTACATTTCTTAGGATTCGTTATGTTTTCAATCATAAATAACTCATTTTAATGGAATTTGTGTTTTATTTTGAAATTTTATTTTGTTTAAAACTAAGTTTTCTGATGAATAAACAGAATTTAATGCAACTATTATTTAACATTTTATATGAGGTTTCAAAGAATTACATTTTAGAAATTATACAAAGTATTGTATAATATTTTTTGAATTATTAATAAAAATCCATTCATTGCTTTTGTTTGTTGCTAAATATTGATATTACAAATATAAAAATGTCTGAACTTGCTATATTTTAAAGTACCAGTATATGAAGTACTTTTTAAATTAAACTATTACAAATACTTTATTAGACAATTCATTGATATTAATTCACTATTTATGTCAATATTATTGAATATATTGTAATGTTAAAATAAGAATATAAATATCATCTTTTAAATAAATTTCACACAAATATTATTCATTTAAAAATTAATTTAAGTTAAAACAGAAACTATTAAATATAAATTGTACTCGCATGTCAGTTATAATTTATTACTAATTTGTAATATTGTAAATATTGTATTTTTGTTTACACAGAATTTCTATTAATTTATTAGTAGTGTATTTGTTTAAGTACAGTATAAACCTATCTACGGTATTATATGTGATATATAAATAATGAGAAATGTATTTTGCATTCAATGAATATATTTAATATTTTCTAAAATTATTCAAAATAACCATACAATTGAAGGTATATATAAAAAATTACAATTCCCATGACAATTTGAAATTAAAATATTTTATTCCTGGTTATAAATTCCTATTATTTCGGAGATAATTGTTGGACTCGAATGTGTTTTGCCTAAAAACTATCTTGTACAAAATCTTAATCCTTTAGGATAACAAAAATATCTACTTTTTAAAATTGCAATATAAAACATATGAACGGTAATACCGATGCAAAGAATTTGTTTCTAAAACTACTTTAAATAATAAATAATATAAAACTGTTAAAACATATGTATAAACATAAAATAGTTTTTTTAGTCGAACTAATGAAAACAAACCTTTCAATGTGTTTTGTGTTATTTTGTATGTTTTAATTATATATATGGAGTGGATGATGGTATCAGTACTAAGTTCACTCCATATATACAGATTTCTGTATTTATATT